TTGCGCAATTTAGAATAAAATCCGCATTTTAAGTCGACATTTTCGTATTTTGGCACATTTTTGGGTGCCAGATACCGGAAACTGCTCCGAATAGACCCCTCGATGGTGAATCTACCGGTCTCGATCCCAAGGAACATGTTAGTTGCGACTCTCGAGGCCGGCGCTTCCACTTTAGCCGACCCGATTCGCCGAAAATATGCGTATTTTACGGCCGCTCGACGGGCCTCGAAACAAAGAATACGACTTTCCGGGCACTTCTGGTGCCAAAAACCTATGGCTAGATGGCATCACGGACAGCCCCGTCGACGGAACCAACCTCCTAGAGCCGCCGGTCGAAGCCTCTCGACTCAAAACTGCCGCCGTAGGGCCGGTTCCGTGCCTCGAGATCCGCCCCGTACTCGATTCGGGGCCCCGCCGACCCGTAGGTGGTCGAGATTCCTGTGTTATTTGGTGCGGCTAGTCGCCCACGCCCCGGGGGGGCTCTGATCCGCCGAGAGAACGAGAAGAGACGACTCAAAACGACCGACGTGGCATCGGTTCGAACGGATACACTCCCAGGAACGCAGTCCCTACGGGCCAAGGTGCCCGAGCTGAATGTCCATCATATAGAAATTGCGACCACGAACCCCAGCGCACCCCGGAGGAGTTCGAAAAACACCAAGGGGCCCCATGCCGGCGTCGTAGGCGACGCCCTGGTACTGCTCCATGACGATGTGCGTACAGCGTCCGCGGAGAGCACCATCATGGAGACCGCGGCGTCACGTTCGAGAGCGGCGTCTCCAGCGTGATGAACTGGTCGATGGCGAGGAAGGCTTCGGACTGGAAGGTCGCGACCGTCGTGGGCGTCGTCTTCGAGGCCTCGGTGTTCTACGTGAAGACGAGCGCCTCGCTCGACGAGGGCGTGCCCTTCGCCGATGAACGACGCCGCTCGCCGCGTCGCCGACGCGGACGGTCTTCTCGATCGACACCGCGCCACGCTCCACGAACGACGGCTCCAAGACCTCCGCGCAGCTGAAGTCGAAGAAGGCCTGGGTGCCCCCGGGCGCTGATGAATGCGGAGATCAAGGCGCCGGGCAAGCCCGAGCGCACAGCCAAGAGACGCAGCGCCGACATGTCGCCGATCAAGACGGCCAGCTGCCACGCGACGACGGACGAAACGATTGAACGCCGGCCAAGAGTCCGGCACGGGCAAGGCTTCGGCCATGGTGGGCTGCCCACTTTCTCGGGTGCACCATGCCGTATCCAGTGCATGTTGAAGCTAGGGTCGTCTGGACGCGTGCGCAGCGCGAGGCTCGCCCGCCCGCCACCCGCGCCGTCAACTGCGCGGCGCGCGCGGCCCTCGCGTCCTTTAGAGGGCAGCTAAGCGCGCTTAGTGCGCCGCTGGGAGCGATGACGTGGGCCGCCGCGGGCGGGGACCCCTAGCCGTCCTCGACGACCGTGGGGAGCGCGACGATGTACGCCTCGTCGACGGCGCCCTCCGGGACGACGGGGAAGGGGAAGAGCTGGTCGGGGGGGTCGGCGCCCTTGTACTGGAAGATGGCGACGAACCGCTGGAGCATGGCGACGCGGTCCGCTTTCATGCGGAAGTCGCCGTCGCCCTCCTGCAGCGACGCGAGGTCCTTCTCCTCGCGTTTCAGCCGCTGTTTCACGTGGTCCACGAGCTTGTCCGCGTCGTTAGCCCGCGAGAGGCTGTAGATGTGGGGCTTGGGCCCCCCCGGGCCGTCGTCCTCCGGCGAGCCGTCGCGCTCGGCCGCCAGGGCCTCGCCCCAGGCCGCCGCCGCGTCGTCGACGACGCCCTCGTGCCGCTCGCCTCTCGCGAGGAACTCGTCGACGGCGCCCTCCTCGCGGAACGGCGCGAGCCCGCCGAAGAGCCCCACGAACATCATGGGGTTGATGAGGCACCGCGCCGCGTGAGCGACGGGGACGCCCATCGCGTGAGCGGCGCGCAACCGCAGCTTCTGGAAGTCCCGGAGGACCTTCGGCGAGAAGATGCGGCCCATGCCCACGACCTTGACGTCGTAGTCGTAGCCGTCGTCGTCGCGCCGCGTGACCTCGATGCGGAGCGGGCCCGGGTCGTCCGCGGGGCCCTCCCCCAGCAGCTCGCGGATGTCATCCGGGCACTGGTAGGCCAGGAAGACCGCGCGGACCAGATGCCGGCGCGTCGACGTGTCGTCGCGGCCGAGCTCCACGGTCATGGGGACGCCGTGCTGGAGCTCGCGGATGGCCGTCAGGAGGCGCGTGTCGCCGAGGTCCGAGAGCTCGAACTTCGCGTGCGCGCTCGAGGACGCCGCGGCGCAGTGGAACGTGAACTTCGGCTTCACGGTGAGAATCCGAGCGGCCTGACCCGCGGGCCGCGCCGCTTCGAGCGCCTGGAGCTGCGGGGCCGTCTTCGAGAGCCGCACGGCGAAGGTCGCCACCACTTCGCCCGCGGAGCACTTCTCGATCCGCGTGGCGAGGCCCCTAGAAATGGCCTTGTTCGGGCCGGCCTGCAATAGGGCGAATCGAGCGTGCGGCGGTATCTGCACGGAGACACTATCCATGTAGGGACTCACCCAGGCATACGGCGAGTCCTTGTAGGCGCCGCGGGCGAGGGTCAGCACCTTGCTCGAGGAGAGCGTCGCAACCCATTGGAGCTCGACGAGTTGGAGCGACTCGCTCCCGGGGATGGCCTCCGCGTCGACGAGCATCGACTCCGGCTTCGTGCACAGCACCACTTCGATCGACCCCGTCCCCCCCGACGGAAGCGGCGCGTTGAAGCGGTCGCGCGGGACGGGCTCGTAGCCGCTGCGCCGCTCGCCGCCGCCGTAGCCGCCGTAGCCGCCGCCGTAGCAGCCGCCGTAGCCGTCGCCGTAGCCGCCGTAGCCGCCGCCGTAGCCGCCGCCGTAGCCGCCGTAGCCGCCGCCGTAGCCGCCGTCGTAGCCGCCGTCGTAGCCGCCGCGGCCGTCGCCGTAGTCGCCGCCGCCGCGGTCGTAGGGGCGGCCGTAGCCGTCGCCGTCGTAGCCGCCGCGGTAGCCGTCGGCGTCCTTGCTGTAGTCGTCGCGGTCGCGGTCGCGGTAGCCGCCGTAGCCGTCGTCGTCGTCGCCGTCGGCGCGGCGGAAGCGGCGGCCGCCGTCGCCGCGGTCGGGGTCGCGGTCGCGGTTGTCGTCGCCGCCGTGCGGCGCGTCTTCCGGCGGCGTGACGCGCGGCGCGTCGCCCGCCGCCGGGCCTCCGGCCGGCGGCGGCCGGCCGCCGGGCGTGCCGTCGTCGCGCCGCGCGCCGACGCCGGCGGAACCGCTTCCGCGGTCGGGCCCCGCGGGGGCGGCGAAGCCCGGCGCGGCGGCGGGCCTTCTTGCGAATTCTCGCGCGTGCCCGCCTCGCTGTCGACGGCCCGCCCTCGGCCGCGGTCGCCGATGCCGCGCGCGCGCGCGTCGCGCGCGTCGCCGTAGTCGTCGCCGGAGCCGGAGCCCCGGGGCGGCGGCGCGCGGTCGTCGAGGCGCGGCGGCCCGCGGACCCGCGCGCGGTCCTGGGACCAGGAACGCGGGGGGCTCCGGCGCCCCCAGCCCTCGCGGTCGCGCCGAGCGTCGCCGCCGCCGCGCGCGTACCGCGCGCCGTCGTCGCGCCCGCGCCAGCGGCGGTCGCGGTCGTAGTCGTTGCGGTCGTAGTCGCCGCGGTCGCTGTAGTCGTTGCGGCCGCGGCCAGGATCCAACCAGCTCGGACGCCGGTCGCGCCACCCCAGAGGCGATTCACCGCCCCGAGGCGGCGGCTGCGCTTGACGCCCCATGAGGTCTTCGCGTCGCCGCCCTCCCGGCGATGGACTGCGCGAACGGCGGTCGACCATTGCAAAGCGTTGGGAGCTGGACAACGCACCGCGTTGCGAGTTTCCGTCGGGCCCAGACTCGATCGTCTCCGGCGGCAAGCTCTCCGTCGTGCCCAAGCTCCGGCCGCCGTGCCGGGTTTCGTGCCGAGTCCTCGGTCGGGTGCCGCCGGGGGCCCCGGCGTCGTGCCCGACCTCGCGTGCCGGCCCGTCCCGGGTCGCGTCCCGGGCCCGTGCCGGCGTGCCCGGCCGCGTGCCGCGTGCCGCGTGCCGGGATCGTGCCCGGCCGCGTGCCGGGACCGGTCCGGCGCCGTGCCCGCGGCGTGCCGGACCCGGCGTCCCCGGCCCCGTGCCGCGTGCCGGGCCCGTGCCGGGCCCGTGCCGGGCCGCGTGCCCGGAGCGCATTTACCGTGCCGGAACCCCCGTGCCCGCCGTCCCCGGCCCCCGTCCCGGGGCCGGACCGTCGTGCGGGGGCCCGTCGATCGACAATGATTCGACATCTCGACCAGCTCCAGCACAACTCAGCACGCAGATGTACGTTCGGATGCGACGGATTAACATGCGCGCTGCCTAGGCGTCCCCCTTGCGCGCGACGATGTCCTCGTAGAAGAACTTGATGCAGCCCTGGACGAGGGGCCGGCCGCGGCCGACGTCGCGGAACTGCGCGGGGCGCGGCCGTCGCGAAACGCGAAACGAACGAAAAAAGGGACGCGGGCTTTGCGCGATCTTGGGCTCGATCTTGTTGGCGGCGAGGACCTCGGCGATGACGTTGTAGTCCGGCCGCTCCTTGGACTCGCCGAGCTTCACCGCGGGCTCGTCGTCGCGGTCGCTGAGCGCGAAGATCTGCCAGTCGTGGGGGTAGGAGAGGAAGATGCGGACCTGCGTGCCCGTGGTCACGTACTCCTGGAGCGAGAAGACGTCGACGAAGCCGAGCTCGTCCATGCGCTTCGTGAACTGCGCCTTGCCGCCGAGGAAGCCGCCGAGCTGGCCGAGGAAGCCCGCCTTGGACGCGAGGAAGTCGAGCGTGTCGTCGCTGTCGCGGAACTGGGGGTTGACCATGAGCACGAGGCGCGGGCCCGCGGCGGCGGCGACGTCCTCGATGGCCTTCTGCGTCTCCAGGCTCGGCTGCACGAACGCGCTCGCGTCGAGGCGCGCCTCCGCGGCCTCGGCGACCATCAAAGCCTCGCCGTCGACGCCGCTCGCATCCAACCGCTGCTCGCGCACGGTCGGCGCCGCGTCGCCGCGCGCGGACCCCACGGACCGCAACAGGTCGCGGACCAAGGGCGCGCACGCCTGGTAGAGCTGCATGATGCCGCCCGTCCACGTCTCGTCGGGCGGGATGAGCTCGCGGCTCACGCCCCGCGGCAGCAGCGTCCGCAGGCGCTGGCGCGCGACGCCGTCCTCGGACGCGCGCAGCACGGCGTCGCGCGCCGCCAATAATTGGCTCTCGGCGTTGAGCGGGCACTTTGGCGGCGCGGCGACGCCCGGCGCCTCGACCATGGTCGTCGCCGGGCGCGCGACGGATCGCTGCGCGCGCCGCGCCGCCGGCAGCTGCATCGCCGAAGCGGTGGCCAGCAGCGCGGCGAGCGTGATCCGCATGGTTGCGCTGGCCGCCATTGCTGATGTGGCTGCGGCTGGCCGAGGAGAAAGTGTCGCCAACATGCCGCGGCGGCGACGCGCACAGCGACAGCCTACTTGGCAGGCCTAGAGGTCGACCTAGGCAGCACGGCGCGAAGAACGAGCTCGCAGTACAACGCGACACACAGGAGAACAAGTTACGCAGCCGCGCGCCGCGCCTCGGGCGCCCAGCGCCGCCGGTACACGTCGGCGACCCGCGGCCGCAGCCAGGGGAGGAACTCGTCGTGGAGCGGGAGCCGCTCCTCGAGCGTCAGCCCCGCGCGCGCGACCGTCGCCGCGAGCTCGCCCACGCCCGGGAAGTCGTGGCTCCGGTTGACGTGGTCCACGGGCGAGATGCCGCCGAGGTCGCGCGCGCCGCTCCGCAGGCACCGCTCGAGCTCGCCCTTGACGAGGTCGCCGGGAGCCGCGCGCGCGCCGCCGCGACGAGCGCGGGCAGGTCCGGCGCGGCGCCCGGCGCGAACCTGGCGAGCGCCGGGTCCGGCGAGAAGGGCTGGATGATGCATTCCTGGACGTGGCCAAAGCGCGCGTGGCTCTCGGCGATGACGTCGAGCGACCGGAGCCGGTCGTCGGCCGTCTCGCCGATGCCGCAGAGGATGCCCGTCGTGAACGGCACGCGCAGGCGGCCCGCCATGTCGAGCTGCTCCATACGCAGCGCCGGGTCCTTGCTCGGGGCCCGGTGGTGCGGCGCGCCCGGCAGCCGCAGCGCCGGCGTCGCCTGCTCGAGCATGAGGCCCATGGACGCGTTCACCTCCGCGAGCGCCGCCATCTCCGCCTCCAGCAGCGGGCCGACCTACAAAAAGAACAATCGAATCACAAAACGGCCGCAAAAAACGGACGCGGGCGTCGACGTTCGTGTGGGGCAACAAATCCAACTCGAGCGCCGCCTCGCACGCGTCGACCATCATCGCGTGCCACGCGCGCCGCTTCGGCGAGTCGAACCGGACCTCGCCCGCGAGCACGAGCACCTCGCAGACGCCCGACGCGGCGACGCGCTCGAGGTCCGCGCGGACGTCGTCCTTCGACTTCCAGTCGCCCCGGCCGCCGGCGATGGGCGCGCGGAAGCTGCAGTACGCGCACTTGTTGAAGCACTCGTACGTCGGCACGACCGTGTAGCACGACGAGTAGGTCACGACGTCCCGCGGCGCGGCGCTCTCGGCCCGCGCGGCAGCGGGCGCGGCACCGCCGCTCCGCCGCCGGTCGCGGCCCCGGGCGACGGCGTCGCGGACGCGCCAGTCGCCGCGCCGCGTGAGCTCCGCGTAGCTCGAGAGCTCCGCGGCCTCGAGCGCCGCGTCGTCGACGGCGCTCGCCGCGGCGCCGTAGAGCGTCGTCCGCTGCCGCGCCTCGCGGCCCGCGCGCGCCGCGGCCGCGCGGAGCGCGCCGGGCGTCGCGAGCTGGCCCGCGCGCGCGCCCGCGGCCACGGAGATGCTCTCGTTCATGAGCACGCCGCCGAGATCATTCGCGCCGACGCGGAGCAGCGTCGACGCGAAGCCGAGCCCGACCTTGGGCCAGGACGCCTGGAGGTTGTCCACGGCGCCGTCGAGCGCGAGGCGCGCCACCGCGTGCACGAGGAGCGCCTCTCGCGTCGTCGGGCCGCCGCGGACGCCGAGCGCCGCGCGCCTCGCCGGGTCCTTGTACATGGGCGCCTCCGTCGATACGAACGGCAGCGGCACGAACTCCGAGACCATGCCCGTCCGCTCCGCCAGCGCGCGGATCGTCGAGAAGTGGCGCGCGACGTGGCCCGCGTCCTCGACGTGGCCGAACATCATCGTCGCCGTCGTCGGCAGGCCCGCCGCGTGCGCCGTTTCGACGACGTCGAGCCACTCCGCCGTCGTGAGGCGCCCCTTCGCCAGCGTCGCGCGCACGCCGTCGTCCAAGATCTCCGCGGACGTGCCGGGCAGCGAGTCGACGCCCGCGCGGCGCGCGTCCGCGAGGAAGTCCGCGACGGGCCGCCGGCTCCGCCGCGCGCCGTGGAGCACCTCCTCCGGCGACAGCGCGTGCAGGTGCACGCCCCGCGGCACGGCGCGGCGCACGGCCTCGACGATCGCGATGTAGCTGTCGCCCGTCCAGCGCGCGCCGTCCTCGTCGACGTCGGGCAGGCCCGCCTGCACGCATATCTCCGTCGCACCGAGCCGCACGGCTTCCTCCGCTCGCCGCACGACCTCGGCCGTCGGCAGCAGGTAGGACTCGCCGTCGACGGCCGTGCGCGAGAAGGCGCAGAAGCCGCAGCGCTTCGTGCACGAGTTCGTGAAGTTGATGTTCCGGTTGACAACGTAGGTCGCGACGTCGCCGACGGCCGCGTGCCGCGCCTCGTCCGCGGCGGCGAGGACGGCGACGACGTCGTCGCGCGCGCGGCAGCGCAGGAGCGCCTCGCTCTCGGCGGCGCCGAGGCCGCGGCCCGGGCGGTCGAGCGCGCGGTGCAGCACGGCGCGCACGTCCGCGGACGCCGCGGCGAGGGCCCGCTGCAGCTTGTGGCGCATCGGTTGCTGCAGGCGTTTGTGTTTTGGCGCAGGCGCTTGTTGCGCGTCAACTTTGGTGCAGGCGCAGGCAGGCGCTTGTTGCGCGTCGTCAAAGGTGGTGCAGGGTGCTGCGCGCGGCAGACGTCGAGGCCGCTCGTCAGGACATCAACACCTCGAGAGAGTTGGGGAACATTGGGGAAACACCGCGCAGCGAAGTTGCGCCGCGATTGGATACGACGCAACGGACCGCGTCGTTTCGCCTTGTGCTCGCGCAACTATGTTCGCGCCGTCCAAGACCATGTGGCGGGACCACGGCAACAAGTTCCCGCAGCGTCCGTCGTCGGCGCAGCCGCGGCTGTCGCGGCCGCGGCCGCCCGTCGTCGTCGTCAAGGGGCTGCCCCAGGGCGGCCCCGGGCCGGCGCTGGACACGGAGCGGCTCGTCTACTCGCCCCGGAGCGACCGGTCGGCGTCGCCGCGCGGGCGGCCCGCGTCGGCGGCGCGGGCCCGGCCCGCGTCGGCGCGGACGTCGCGCGAGCGCCGCGCGCCGAAACCAAAGGCCGTCGACTGGCGCGTGTCTACGCCCGACGACGTCGCGCCCGTGCGCCGCGTCGACTTCGAGCTCAAGCTCCGCGACGGCTACGACGGCCCGCCGCCGCGCGAGCGGCCGCGGCCCGCCGCCGTCGCCCGGCGCGAGGCCGAGCGCGCGGCCTGCGCCGCGCCCGCCGCGCCCGAGGACGAGCCCGCGGACGACCGCGGCGGCGACCGCGCGGGCGACGACTACGCGGGCCTCGCGGTGTCCATGATGCGCGGCGAGGACATCGTCGGCGCCTACGCGTCGGCCCTCGGCGGCGACGCGCCGGCGAGCGCCGGCGGGCGCACCGCGCGGCAGCGCGCGTCCGACGACGAGCGCCTCGGCCCCGCCGCGCGGCCGCGCGCGGGCTCGCCGCGGCGCGACGCGCGCAAGGAGACCTGGGAGCCCGAGCGCCTCGAGCGCACGATCCTCGCCCGCGTCGAGGAGCGCGCCGCGCGGTCCCTGTCGGGCTACCGCTACCTGCGCTGCGCCATGTTCCTCCGGTCGTTCTTCGGCGACGGCGTCGACGCGGTGTCCGCGGGCCAGTTCGGCGCGCTGCTCCGGGCCAAGCTCGGCATCCACGTCGAGGACGCCGACGTGGTCCGGCTCTGGGTCCAGCGCTTCGGCGCCAAGTCCGGCGAGCACCGCCTCGCGAGCCGCCACCTCATCGTCAAGTTGACGCCCAAGGACCGGGCGGGCGGGCCGGCCTGGGACGCGAACGCGTTCGCGGACCGCGGCGCGGCCGTGTCGCCGCGGGAGCGCGAGCGCGACGTGGCGTCCGGCGAGACGGCGGAGCAGATCGAGCGGTTGATCCGCGACCGCCTGGACCAGAAGATGCGCAAATTATCGAACTTCCGCTATCAAAACGCGTACGCGGTCTTCCAAGACGACAGTTCCTCGGGCAAGGCCGCGCGCAAGGCCGTCACGCGCGAGGCCTTGAAGGAGCGGTTGGCGGCGAAGCTCGACGTGCGCCTCAGCGCGTCCCAGCTCGACGCGCTCTTCGCGCGCTACGACGTCGAGGGCCGCGGCGCGCTCGACGTCCGGGATCTGGTGCGGCGCCTCGTGCCCAGCGACTTCCCCGGCGCGTCCCCGCGCCGCGAGGCCGAGAAGCCCGCCAAGGGAACCAAGATGGGCGCGCTCCACGTCCCCCGGGCCGCGCGGCCGCGGCCGCTCGCGGACCCGTCGTGGACCGTCGACGACGTCGAGGCGCTCCTCCGGTCGAAGATCGCGGGCAGCCGCCGGCCCCTGGCCCACTACGAGCACCAGAATGTGTACCGCGTCTTCAGCCGCGCGCCGCCGGACGCTTCCGCGCCGCCGGCCAAGGGCCACGCGAACAATTTGACGTGCGGACGCTTCGCGGCCGTGCTCGAGCACGCGTTCGGCCTCGCGCTCACGCCGCCCCAGGCCACGCGCCTCTTCCTGCGCTACGACCCGTCGGGTTTGGGCCGCCTCGGCGTCATCATCCCCAACATGCTCCCCAAGGACTGGACGCCGAACTGCGGCGTGCTGCCGAAAAAGCCGGGCGCCGCGGCCGCGCCGCAAACGTCGCCGGGCCGGAACCCGCTCCACCTCGTCGAGTTCCCGCCGGATCTGGCCGCCGCGGCGCCGCCGCCGTCGGCGAAGAAGAAGCAGGCCGCGCCGGCGCCCGGCGGCGCGGCGCCCGACGCGCGGCCCGCGCGGCCCGCGCCGCGGCCCGCGAGCCCCGAGGCGAAGAAGAAGCAGAAGACCGAGCCCGCGCGCGCGCCGCCCCGCGTCGCCGTCCACGCCGAGGACTTCTCCTCCGTCCCCGCCGCCGCGAAGCCGCCGCCGAAGCGGCCGAGCTCCGCGCCGGCCGCGCGGCGCCGCGCGCCGCCGCCGGCCGCGGCGCCCGCGGCCGCGCCGCGGCCGCCGACCGCGGGCGCGCCGCGGCCCCCGGACAAGGGCGTCGGCGCCGTCCGCTACCGGGCCCACGTCTGCAACGACAAGGTCCGCGACCTCCTCAAGGTCCGCGGCCTCAACGTGGGCCCGAAGCACGCCGCCTCCTGGGACGCGGCGCCCGCGGTGCGCGCGCGCTAGGCGGGCACGTAAGAGACCCGACGCGTCGGATGGGGCTTTTACTATAGAATCGGGGGATGGTATATACACAGGGCACATGGAAGAGCGGCGCCGCTCCGGGTGCGCGCTTCTTCGGAGGCGGGCGCGTCGGTGCTAGGAGCTGTCGCTGTAGACCGTGCTGTCCAGGCTCGAGTCGTCGTCGCGGCACGACGCCGCCCACGCCGCGTGCGGGCCGGGGATGATCCACGCGTCCCGCGCCGCCGCCGGGTCGCGGGGCCGCGCGTCCCAAAAAGTCGCCCGCTCCGAAGCGGGCGGCTCCCAGGGGGGGGCGAAGGCCTCTCCAAAGTCGCGTTTTCGTTTCGGGGCAGCGCGGTCCGCCGCCTCCTGGTGGGCGAGCCAGGTGCGGGCGCCGGGCTGCCGCGGGGACGTGGGCGACGTCGGCGTTTTCGGCTCCGCCGACCGGGGCCCGTCGAGGAAGCTGCGCCGGGGCTCGACGGCGATGGACAGGCCCGCGAAGCGGTCGCCGGGGCCGCGCATATTCTCTCTTACTTCTGCCACGCTCAGGGCCTTCACTTGGGTTGAAATCGGCTGATGCACCAAAAGTAAGCCGGTCAAACATCGAATCTGCGGCGGCAACGTTGCAACATTACTTTGTTGCCGCGAACCTGGCGAGTCGACGCACACGAGAGAGTGGCCTCGGCGTCCGAGGCTCGCATCTGTCGCCGGCGGCGCGCCGGCGCGCCTCGACATCATGGCCACGACGGCGGACTCGCCGCGGCGCGACGCGGCCCACGTGATCCGCTACGTCGCGCGGCCCGCGGCGCAGCAGGACGAGGGCCTCTGGGGCACGTTCAAGACCGTGGGCCGCGTCGTGCTCGTCATCGGGGCGACGTTCAGCTCGCTGGCCGTGGGCGTCGTGCTCAAGCTCTTCGTCTTCCCCGTGGACCAGGTCATCGGCCGCACGTGGATGGACCGCTACGTCGTCGGCGCGTGGGCCGACGGCGTCGTCGGCGGGCCCGTGTTCCCGCGGGGCTGCCGGCTCAAGCTCAGCGGCGAGCTGCCGCGGCCGGACCACCGCGCGGGCCTGCTCATCGCGAACCACCAGCTCGACACGGACTGGTTCTACCTCTGGGACATGCTCCGGGTCGTGGGCGCGCACGGCGCGCTCAAGATCGTGCTCTTGGACGACATGCGGTCGGTGCCCATCGTCGGGTGGTGCATGCGCCTCGTGGGCTTCATCTTCGTGTCGCGGCACCGCAAGCGCGCGCGGCAGCAGGACGACGTCGCGGAGATCGAGCGCGCCGTCGCCGAGGTCGCGGAGGCGCGGCGGCCGTCCGTCGTGCTCCTGTTCCCCGAGGGGACGACGGCGAACGAGGAGGCGAAGCGCAAGGCCGAGGCCTACGCGAAGCGCATGCGCCGCCCGGCCCACGAGCTGCTGCTCGTGCCGCGCTGCGGCGGCTTCGTCGCGGCGATCCGGGGCTTCGTGAGCCGGGGCGTGCTCGTCGAGGACGTGCTCGTCTACGACTCGACGATGGCCTACGCGGGCTACGGCGGCGAGGTGCCCGCCTGGGACATGGGCTTCGAGCGGTCCGACGACGTCCAGCTGCCCAACGTCGCCAAGCTCTTCAAGGGCGACCACGGCGACCACGTGCGCCTCCACACCGTCGCGTACCGGGCCAGCGAGGTCTTCGCCGACGGCGCCTACGCGACGCCCCTGGAAGCTTTGCGGAGCCACGAGGCCGAGCGCATCGCCGCGGCCTGGCTCGACGCCCGCTGGGCCGAGAAGGACGCCATGATGGTCCACTACGCGGAGCACGGCGACTTCCCCGGCGCGGGCGACGTCGTCGAGGTGCTCAAGCCCGCCGAGTACCTGCCCTTCGGGTTGCTCACCGCGGGCTGGCTCGCGGCGGCGGCGGCCGCGACGCTCGCGCTGCTGGTGGCGACGCTCCTCGCCATGCCCGCGCTCTTCGTCGCGGCGCTCCTGGGCACCCTGGTCGTCGCGTGCGTGCTGCCGTTCGTCGCCTGCGCGGCGTGCGCGCTCGGGCCCTTGGCGCTCGGCGCGCTCGCGATCAAGCACTGGCACGACGCGCAGCCGAGCCGCGGCCGCGGCGGCGCCTTCGCGGACGCGGGCGACGACGACGACGACGTGCCCGTCTTCGGCGGGCCCGGGAAGAGCGGCGCGACGTCGGACGGCGCGGCGCAGGACACGCCCGTCGTCATCTGACCGCGCGAGTCCCGGCGTCCGCTTTTTCGTGTTGTCTCGGCTGCTGAGGACGAAATCGAGCTTTCCTGGGGGTATGAGAGGCCGCCGCGAAGGGCCGCGTGTACGCAAGTCATGCGGCCCGGCGGACGCGATGCTTACAAGATAAAGCCAACGAAGCAGCGACGGCGCGCGCGCGCGCGCGCTTCGCGGCGCCGCGCGGTGCGCTCGACGAAACGGCCCCCGCAGGTCCGCCGCGACGCGGCGCGCCCCGCCCCTCTGTTGTGATTAAGAATACATGTGCACCGTGCTGCAGGGAGGACTCCTGGGGCTCACGCCGTGTGAGGCGTCGCCGCGCCCCGCGACCCAGGGCGCGGTGCCTCGGCCAGATCGCAGGCGCTCTGAGCTTCGACATGGCTGCCTCACGTACTCAGCGCTGCGTCTTGCTCCTCGCGAGCCTCGTCGCGTGCAGCGCCGTCAAGGAGCTCAGCACGGGCTTCGACTTCCCGCGCAAGCACAAGCTCGGCGCGCTGCGGAGCCTCGGCGTGCGCAAGAAGGGCCCCATCAAGGTCTACGCCGTGGGCATGTACGAGGACATGTTCAAGGCGCCGGGCTTCGTGCTCAAGATGAGCATGGGCGTCGGCGCCGAGAAGATGACCAACGTGCGCCGGCCGGCGTCGCCGCGCTGCGCCGGCCGCGCGCGACGCGCGCGACGCCCGCGCGAGCCCGCCCGCGGACCGCGCCGCCGCAGGCGCTCGTCGACGCCATCAAGCCGCGCTGCAGCGACGCGCCGGCGCTCGACAAGTTCTCGGAGCTCATGCTCACCGGGTTGCCCGACGGCTGCAAGAAGAACATGGAGCTCTGCTTCGGCACCTCCGGCGGGAAGCTCGCGCTGTCCGTCGGCGGCAAGGCCGTCGGCAGCGTCGCGTCCAAGCCCCTCGCCAAGGCCTTCGCCGGCGTCTACTGCGACAGGAACGCCGTCTGCACCCTCAAGCCCGTCGAGGAGGACTAGGCCCGGTTCGCGCGCGGGGATTCCCGCGCGGCGCGTCTCGTAAGAAGGAGCTGGTCCGCGGTGTGTGTTTTGCTGGGGTTGTCTCTTGAGTGAACGCGCAGCGCCGTTCGTTTTTCTCGCGCGCAAAAATCGCGTCAAAAGTTCAATAAAACTGCACCTTGAGGATGTGGCAAACCAAATCAAGCCGAAGCTCAAACTCACCACGAGTGTTGGCTGCCGCCAAGCAGAAACACTAAACCGGAGGATCCGGTCGGGGAGCGGGGCCGGCATGGTCGGGAGCCGGCGCGGCGTGCACCGCTTCGAGGGCCTGACGCAGCGGCGCGGCGCGAGCACGTGCTACCTGCAGCAGCTCCCGGAGCACGTCTTCGCCCAGAACATATGCCGCAATCTCAACGCCTGGGGCTTCGCGTCGTGCGGCACGTGCTGCACGTGGCTCAAGGAGGCGGTGCTCGACGACGACGACGCCTGGGCGCGGCGCCTGCGCGCGTCGGACACGCTGCTCCAGCGCTACAGCCCGTCGGCGATCGCGGTCGAGTTCGTCGACTGCCGCGTACGAAGCAGCCAGCTCTGGGCCCAGGTCTACGACGACGGCGGGGCGCTCTGCGCCGGCGACACGCAGCGCGAGGCGTCGAGCCGCGTCGAGGCGAGCCGCTTCGCCCGCGTCGTCGCGCTCACGGCGTCGCTCCACGACGTCGAGGCCGCCGGCGACGAGGGCGACCTCGGCGTGCTCTACGGCGTCGCCTGCGGCCTGGCGTCGCTGGCGGCGCCCTGGGAGCTCGCGGCCCTGATCGACGACGACGCGAGGCCCCTGGCGCGCGCCGCGGCGCTCTTCGGCGCGTTCCTCCGGTGCGTCGACCGGACGCTGAGCCCCATCGAGGCCATGGCGCCCCTCGGCGACGAGGCGCTCGTCGCCGCGGCGACGCGCGCCGCGGCGACGTCCTGCACCTACCGCGCCAAGGTCTGGGGCCTGGGCGGGCTCCAGCTCTACCGGCTCCGCGACTCCGTGCACTCGGCGCGCGAGACGTCGTCGCTCCTCGCGCGCGGCGTCCTCTACCACATCGGCGACGCGGCCCGGCGCGCGGCCGTCGACGCGAGCCTCGACGCGTCCCAGCGCGCCGTCGCCTTCCTCTGCTTCGTCAAGGCCAACGTCGGCCGGCCGCGCCCCTCGGGCATCAAGCGGCCCGTCCTCATCGTCTCCGACCCGGAGTAGCGGCCGGGCGTGTTTGCACAGACTCCTCCCCCTTCTGAACATTAATCGCGCGTATACATATCTGCTAGTGTTGCAACATACGACGTAGTAGCAAAGCTGCAGACGGCTTCATTGTGCCAACCGACGTCGCTGTGAACGCGTCACGGCTTAAAAGGCGTTCGACAAAGTGTGGCTGCACGATACACTCTAATTCCGTAGCCGAGGAGCACGATGCTATCGTGTTGAGCCGAGCAGCAGCAGCTCCAGAAAAGGCGCCTGCCTCGATCTTCGCTCCCCAGACTGGCTTGCTGCCCCATGGCGTCTCGCCACCGAGGCTCCACCGGCCCGCCGCGGTCGTCGGCATGACCATGCTGACGGCGGACAAGGACACGCTCGCGGTGATCAACACGGCCCTCGCCGAGGCGGACCAGCTCAGCGCCGCCGCCTCCGAGCTCGAGGAGGCGCGCGACACGGACGCGCTCGCCATGTCCGGGACGGCGTGCGCGCGCCGCGGGCACTGCCGCCCTCGTCGCACGTGCAATCGAGCCGGCGCGCAGACGACGCGTAGAGAGCCGGATGGCTCGATCGCACGGAGGGCTGGCGCGCTGCGGCGCGCGCGCGCCGCGCGATCTCCGTCTTCAACATTGGCCCGAGCCCAGCGGCTCGCTCGCATCTCGCTCGCGGCTCTCGATTTGTGTTGGCGAGGCTGGGCTCGTCGTCCTCGGCGTGTGCACCTCGCTGTCGGACGGGCTCTTCGTCTCAAGATGGCGAACCAATATTTCCATGTGCGTCGGCGCGGCGACTCCCCACACCCGATAGAAATTGAGCGGCGGGGCTGGTTACGCGGCGACTCGCACGCCCGATACGAACCAGCCCCCGCGCGCTGCACCCGCCCCCACGCGCGCGCGCGCGCGCCGCGGCGCCTCGCTCACGCGCCCGCCCCCGCCCGCAGAAGCCGGAGAATGCGCTCAAGCGCGCGAACGAGCTCGCGACCATCGGCAACAAGAAGGCGGCGCTCCAGGTGCTGCACGACGTGCTGACGGCGAAGAAGTCGCGGACGTGGGTCAAGGTCTTCGAGTCGATCATGTTCCGCTACATCGACATCTGCGTCGAGCTCCAGATGCACCGCCACGCCAAGGACGGGCTCCACCAGTACCGCAACATCTCGCAGCAGCAGGCGCCGCAGAGCCTCGAGGTCGTCATCCAGTACCTCGTCAAGGCCGCGGAGACGCGGGCCTACGAGGCCGCGGCCGCGGCGAAGAAGGCGAACTTGGCGGCGGCGGCCAAGTCCGTCGCGGACCTCGACTGCGAGCAGACGCCCGAGTCCATCATGATGTCGACGATGACGGACGAGGGCGACGGCGAGCGGTCCGAACGCGAGGCGCTCGTGCCGTGGCTCAAGTTCCTCTGGGAGACCTACCGCAGTGTCCTCGACATCCTGCGCACGAACTCCAAGTTGGAGAAGGTCTACCACGGCACGAGCGTCAAGGCCTTCGAGTTCTGCCGCAAGTTCGAGCGGAAGACGGAGCTCCGCCGGCTCTGCGAGACGCTCCGCCAGCACCTGTCGAACCTCCAGCGCGCGGCGGCGACGAACAACACGAGCCGCCTGCGCGGCTGGGAGGGCTGGACCCAGGAGGGCGTCGAGATGCACCTGACGACGCGCTTCGCGCAGCTCGAGGTCGCGTCGGCGCTGGAGCTCTGGACCGAGGGCTTCCGGACCGTCGAGGACATCCACCAGATCATGCGCATCTCCAAGAAGCCGCCCAAGGCCAAGCTCATGGCCAAGTACTACGAGCGCCTCACCAAAATCTTCTGGGTGAGCGGCAACCACCTCTTCCACGCGTTCGCGTGGTGGCGCCACGCGCAGCTCGCCAAGGAGGCGGAGAAGCGGCCCGCGACGCCCGAGGAGCGGTCCCACCGCGCCTGCGCCGTGCTGCTGGCGGCGCTGGCCATCCCCGACGCGGGCAACGCCGGCGGCGGGCCCCGGGAGGTCGCGGGCTTCGGGCTCGGCGACGCCGACCGGTCGCCCGAGGACGACGTCGACGCGGAGAAGAACGCGCGCATGGCGACGCTCCTGGGCTTCGCGACGCACCCGACGCGGTCGGCCCTGCTGGCGGAGCTCACGGTGAACGGGGCGCTGGTGGACGCGGACCTGCTGCCGGCGCACGTCACGGAGCTCTACGACGCGCTCGAGTCCCGCTTCGAGCCGCTGCGCCTCGCGGCCATCGTCAAGCCCCTCCTGGACCGGCTGGCGACGGAGACGCCGCGGCTGGCGCACTTCGCCGAGCCCCTGGCGCGGCTGGCCGTGTGCCGCCTGGTCGCGCAGCTCGGCGAGGTCTACTCGTGCGTGACGCTCGACCACTTCAAGTCGCTCCTCGGCGACCTGCCGCTGGACTACGACGACGTCGAGAAGCTGCTCGTGGGCGCGACGCCGACGGTCAAGGGCGCGGCGCCCGTGGCGCGCCTCGACTACCGCCGCAAGTGCCTGCGCTTCTCGTCGGCGCCGCGCGGCGGCGACCGGCCCTCCGCCGTCGCCGGCGGCGGCCGCGACACGCTCAGCGTCTTCGGCTTCAAGGTCGACGAGGCCCTGGACCACATCCGCAAGGTCACGGCGCCGCCGCCGGAGGTTTTGGCGAAGCGCGCCGCGGAGCGCGAGCGGCTCTTCGCGGCGGCGCGCGACTCGGCCGACGCGGACCACGAGAAGTGCCTCGCGCGCAAGGCCGTCATCGAGCGGCGCAAGGAGGAGCAGGAGCGGCTCCAGCAGGAGAAGGCCAAGGCGGAGGCCGCGGAGAAGGCGCGCCTCGAGGAGGAGCGCAAGAAGGACGAGGAGCGGCGCCTCGAGAAGGAGGCGCGCGACCGCGAGCGCGAGAAGCTCGCGAAGATGAAGGCCGAGCTCCAGCTCCAGGAGGCCAAGGAGACGATGAAGGCCCTGGGCAAGGACGTCGGCGACGAGGTCGCGGGCATGGCCGAGGCCGAGCGCCAGAAGCTCATCCAGGAGACGCGCGACGCGGCCACGAAGAAGCAGAAGGCCGAGGAGCAGCGCCTCGCGGAGCAGGCGAAGCGCGTCGACTACGTGACGCGCGCGTTGCGCCTCGAGGAGCTGCCCGTGCTCGAGGCGCGCTACGCGCGGCGCCTCGTCGAGGACCGCGAGGCGCACGACGCGGCCTACGAGAAGAAGGTCGCTTCCGGCGAGGCGGCCCACGCCGCCGCGCTGCTCGAGAAGGCGCGCCTCGCGCCCGTGCAGCCCCACCGCGCGGCCTTCGAGGCCGACGTGTCCGCCGCGCGCCGCGCGGCGCACGCCGAGGCGCGCGAGGCCGCGCGGCTCAAGTTCGAGGCCGACAAGATCGCGCGCAAGGTCGCGCGCGCGCGCCGCCGCCACGAGGAGCACGAGGAGGAGCAGGAGCGGCTCCGCCAGGAGGAGGACGACCGCGCCTTCGAGGCCGCCGCCGCCGCGCGGCGCGCCGAGGAGGAGGCCGAGGAGGAGCGCGTCCGCGCGGAGCAGGAGGCCGAGCGCCGGGCCCTCGAGGAGGAGCGCCGGGCCCAGCGCGAGGCCGAGGAAGAGCAGCGCCGCGCCGAGAACGCGAAGCTCTCCGCGGAGCGCGCGGCGCTCCGCAAGGAGCAGGACGCCGAGCGCGCGGCGGAGCGCGAGAAGCAGGACAAGCTCGCCAAGGAGCGCGCGGAGGCCGAGTCGAACTGGCGCCGCGGGCCCCGCAAGGACCTCGACGACGCGCCCGGCGGCGCCGCCGACCGGCCCCGCGGCGGCATGACGGACCGCGACCGCGGCGGCGACGCGCCGCGCCGCGGCGGCTTCGAGGACATGGGCCGCCGCGGCATGGGCCAGCGGCCCCCGGGCGACGACGCGCCGCCGCGCCGCGGCGGCTTCGAGGACGGCCCGCCCCTCCGCCGGGGCCTCGGCGCCATGGGCGACCGCGACCCGCCGCGCCGCGGCGGCTTCGAGGACGGCCCGCCCCTCCGCCGCGGCATGGGCGGCGACCGCATGGGCGGCGACCGCATGGGCGGCGACCGCCCGCCCCCGCGCGGCGGCGACCGCGACGGCGGCGACGGCGGCGGCAACTGGCGCCGCGGCGGCGGCGCGCCGCCGCCGGAGCCCCGCGCGCCCCGCCGCGACGACCGGCCGCCGCGCCGAACCGACGACTCCGGCGACGGCGGCGGCAACTGGCGCCGCGGCGGCGGCCAGTCCTAGGACGCCCCGGACCGCCCGCCCGGCGACCGGCGCGCGCGGCCGCTCCCGGCGGCCGCACCTCGATCGACCCACCACCACCACCCGGCGACCGCGCCCGCGCTCCGGCGCGGACGCGGCCGCACCTATCCCACCCCCGACCCGGCGACGGGTCCCCGCCCCCCCCCCGCTCTAACGGCACTCTGATGCATGCGCCTTCGCGGGCGGCTGCGACTGGGTAGGACTGGTGCGTGTGTCCCGAGTACGCCTACGCCTTTGAAGGGCACTGCCAAACTTCTTGTGGCATTCTAAGAGCGAGCTGAGCTCATCTGTGGCGGCCGCACCGAACCTACGCGGCCGCGCACGAATACGCGCCGCGGCGTCCTCGCTTTCGCGAACGGGAACATACCCGCCGCGGCCAACGCCCAAAGCGCGCCCCCGTCGCCGCGCGGCGACGACGGGGGACCCCTGACGGCCATGCGCCTGGCGGCGCCTTCGTTGGTGGCGACGACGTCGGATTCGAGCGACCACGGCCCCAAGGAGGCGCCGCTCCGGGACAGCCCGCTCTCCAAGGCCGCCGCGGCGGACCGCGAGCGCCACCTGAACCCCAAGGGGACCAAGGAGGACCCGGCGAGCGGCTACGTGCCCGAGATTCCGGCGCCGCCGTCGGTGAACCGGTGCTCGGGCCACCGGTGCGTGCGGCACCGGTCCGCGCCGTGGGTCCGCGACGCGGCCCCGGCCTGCTGCGCCGTCGCCGGCGACGCCGGCGACGCCGGCGCGCCGCGCGCGCCGCGGCGCCACTCCGAGGAGGCGCGCGCGGGCGCGGCGTCGTGGCAGGGCCCGCCGAGCCCCATCGAGGCGCTCCACGACGAGCGCCACTCCGAGTCCTGCCTGTCGGCGCGGCCGAGCGCCGGCGCGCGGTCGCCGAAGCCGCCCGGCGACGCGGGCGACGGTGCCGCGGAGCCGCGCGCGGGCCGGCTCGGCGGCCGCGTGGGCCGCGCGCTGACCCGGGCGACGCGCGAGGGCCAGGAGGAGGCCGTCTTCCGCTCCAAGGCCACGGACGAGCGCGAGGCCTTCAGCCACCTCGCGGGCGGGCGCTACATGTGCGCGCGGCTCGACAAGCGGTGCTGGCTCGAGGTCGAGGACGAGAAGCACCGCTACGCCAAGAACCTGCGGCGCTACCACTACGAGTGGATCCGCCTCGGCGAGCCCTGCGGCACGTTCTGGCGCTGGCTCGACGGGCCCCGGCCTGACGGGTCCAAGGTCTGCCTGCCGACGTGCGCGCGCGAGCGCCTCGAGGCCGAGCGCGTGCGCTACTGCGCGCCCGGCGCGGCGGAGAAGTACGCGTTGCGGTGCGCGCACCAGCGCGTCTTCCACCTCGCCACCGAGGAGCACGCGGAGCTCGCGCACCACCACCGCCGCGACGACGACGACGCGAACCGCGACCGGCGGCGCCGCGAGCCCTCCGCGGACCGGAGCCGCCGCGGGCCGCCCGGCCAGCCCCGCGAGTCGCCGCCCAAGCCCGCGGCGACGAGCGGCGCGCCGGGCGGCGACCGGCAGCCGCGGAGCTTCGACGCGCCGCGCGCGGCGACCGAGGGCGAGGCCGTCGCGCCCGAGGGCTACGCGCCGCTCAACACGGGCCCCAAGGGCTGGATCTTCGTGCTCCACGACGGCGCCTTCTACGCGCGCAAGAAGGGCACGTCGTCGGGCAAGCAGCGCTTCCACCACTCGTCCTTCTTCTCCGGCGAATGCGTCGACGCCGCGGGCATCGTCGTCGCGAAGGACGGCGTCGTCACGCGGCTCCTGCCCCACAGCGGCCACTACCGGCCCCGCGAGTCCCACTTCGCGCGGCTCCTGCTCTACCTGCGGAGGGTCATGGGTTTAGATTTGGACCGGCTCGAGGTCGACGTGCAGCGGCTGCTCCGCGTCGCGCGGCCCGAGCACACGAAGAAGATGGACACGCCCCACTACTGGGCGGCGTCGGACGCGCTCCACTTCCTCACGCGCAAGGCGTTGGCGAAGAGCTCGAACCTGCTCTACGCCATCGAGAACCGCGGCGCGCTCGAGTCGCTCCGGCGCCGCGACCTGTCGCTCGCCGTGGATTTGGCGGAGACGCACCGGCTGCCGTCGCGGCCCGTCCTCGTCCGGCGCCGGGGGTCCGAGGACGAGAAGGCGGGGTTCCTGCGCGACGGCGAGGGGCTGGACGGGCGGCCCGCGGACGCGCCGGAGCGGCCGGCGCCGCGCGACCCAACTTCGACGCTCACGAACGACGAGTGCGCGGCCCTCGCGGCCTTCGCCGCCGCCGCGGCGTCGGGCAAGAAGCCGCGGTCCGACAGCGACGTGGGCGTCGAGGAGGCGGCGCCGCCGGAGGGCGACGGCGCGCCGGAAAACGCGGACCGGCCGCGGACGCCGCCGCCGTCGCGGCCCGCGTGGGGCGGCGCGCCGCCGCTGAGCCGCAGCGCGCCGAGCTCCGCGACGCGCCTCGGCCACCCGGCCGTCGCCGACCGCGACGTCGCCGCGCCGCGCCTCGAGTCGCCGCCGGGGTCGCCCGCGCGGGCTTCTACGCCGCGCGGGTCGCCGCGCCCGCGCGGCCGCGGCGACGCGGCCGACGGCGACGCGGCCGCGCTCGCCGACGCCTTCCCGGAGCGCGACGGGTCCCTCGAGCCGCCGAGGGTGGCCCAGGTCGCGCCGCGGCGCGCGCGGTCCGCGGAGCGCCGCGACGCGCGCGACGTCGTCGCGTCGACGTCGCGCGCGCACTACCGGCGCCGCGGCGACCGCGCGCTCTTCGGCATCCGCCGCCGCGCGACGCTCGAGGCCGCCGGCGCGGCGCGGGCCGACGCGGACGCGCCGGCGACGGGCGACCGCGGCCGCGCGGGCGCCGGTAGCCGCGGCGCCGACGGCTGGTGAGACGGCGCGGAGCCGCCGCTGCTCCGCGGCCGCGACACGAGGAGGAGGCGCGCAACGACGACGGTGCCGCGGACTCGTCGTCGGACAGCGACAGCGACAGCGACGACGAGTCGTCCGACGGCCTCTCGCCCGAGGACCCGCTGGGCCTCCTCCGCCGCTTCGAGTCCGGCTCGAAGCACAGCCTCAGCGACCTCGACGAGGACAGCGCCAACGAGCTCTCGACGACGCCGCCGAACCTGGGCTCCTTCGGCGGCCGCGCGAAGCTCAAGAAGCGCGTCACCTCCAAGGACAGCCTCCAGTCCAACGAGGACGCGGAGAAGCCCGCGGCGCCGCGGCCGGCCGACGACGACGACCTCGACGACGCGCCCGACGCCGGCCCCGTCTTCGCCGACGACCTCGACGACGAGCTCGGCCGGCTCTCGCTCCGCCGCGCGCGGCGCGGCGCCGACGAGGACAAGCGGCGGCCCGGGAGCTCGCGCGCCTAAAGCCCGCTGCTACCATACTAGCGGCACATGAAGCCCGCTGCTACCATACTTAGCGGCACATGGCGCGGATGCCCGCGGCGTCGGGCTGGAGGGGCGTCGCGTGGACGGCGCGCGCGAGGCCGTCGAAGTGGGCCCAGGCCGCGGCCGCGTGCTCGACGACGTCCGCGCGGAGCGCGGCCCTCACGTGCGGGTCCGCGCCCGGCGCGCCGACGTGCTTCTCGAGGCGCGCCAGGACCTGGCCGAGGCCCGCGGCGAGCTTCGCCGGGCCGTGGGCCGCGAGGAGCGCGTGGAGCGCCTTGGGCGGCTCGCGCGCGCGCGCCTCGGCCGCGCCGCGCGCGGCGACGAGGTCCTCGAGCTTCGTGAAGTAGGCGACGAGCTTGGGGAACTGGTAGGCGAACATCCAGGCGGCGTAGCGCTGGGCCGCGCGCTTCGCCGCCGCGGCGCAGGCGTCGCCGAGGCGGTTCAGCGCGGGCGACGCGGCCGCGAAGCCGTCGTCGCCGCCGCGGAACTGGCGCGCGACGTAGAGGTAGGTCTCGACCTTGTGGAGGTCCGCGTACTTGGCGTTGGCCGCCGCGACGGGGCCGTCGACGAAGGCGACGAGGGCCGCGCCCAGGGCGCCGTGGGCCGCCTCCGCGCGCGCGCGCGGCCCGCCCGCGCCCGCGGCGGCCGCGCCGCGCGCGCGGCGCCGGTCCCCCAGACACCGCTCGACGGCCTCGGCGAAGACGACGACGTCGACGGCCGCCTCGCCGGGCTGGCCGCCGCGCTTGTGGTCCCGCTTGCGGTAGCGCGCGACGTCGGCCCGCGCGACCGCGTCGGCGCGCGCGGCCGCGAGCGCGTCGAACGCCGCGGCCGCGTCCGCCGCGACGGCCGCGTAGAGCCGCGCGGCGTAGGCGTCGCCGTCGCTCCGGTTCCTCGCCGCCTCGGCGCGCCGCTCGCAGAGGGCGAGCACGCCCAGGGCCTCGACGCGCCGCAGCGACGTCGGGCCCTCGCCGTCGCCCGCGACGGCCGCGGCGCACGCGGCCCGGAGCGCCGCGAACTGCTGCTCGAGGCCCGCGTCGTCGCCGGCGCGGAAGAGCTCGGCGCAGAAGGCGCGCTCGCGCAGGGCCACGGGCAGGATGTCGTCGAAGAGGCGCTCGACGAAGGCGGCCGCGGTCTCGCGGCGCGCGGCGCCGCCGCCGCGCGCGCCGCCGTCGCCGTCGCCCGCGGCGGCGACGGCGCGCCGCGCGGCGACGTAGGCCTCGACGCGGGGCCCGTAGAGCGCGTTGCGCGTCGCCCGGGCCCAGGTCCGCCGCAGGCTCGCGAGCACGTCGCGGCGGTCGAGCGCGGCGACGCCGCCGATTAAAGCGCAGACCGCGTCGCCGCGGACCTTGGCGTGCGCGTCCGCCTGGCGGCGCCGCAGGGCCGTCGCGAGGGCCGCGGCGGAGAGCGTGCCGCTGTGGGCGTCGGACCGCGCCCACTCGGCCTCCCAGGCGTCGCAGAGGTCCAAAACGCGGCCCTTGACGGCCTGGTCCGCGCGCCGCGCGAAGCCGTCGGCGAGCTCCGCGAGCTGGCGCCGCCGCTCGCGCACGGCGGCGAGCGCCGCGTAGCCGTCGTCGTCGCCCAGGGCGTCGCAGCGGCGCCGGGCGGCGCCGAGCTCCTCGGCGGCGCGCGCGAAGCGCCACGCGAGCTCGTCGACGTCGCCGCCGCCGCGGTTCGCGCGCGCGACCGCGGCCTCGGGGTCGCGGAGCAGCGCCTCGGCCTCGGGGCCCAGCGCGAGGCCCCGGCCGGCCTCGTCGCCGTCGTCGTCGTCGTCCTCGTCGTCGGACGCGCCGAGGGCCGGGCCGGCGATCCGCGCGAGCGCGGCGTCGAGGCGCCGCAGGTTGCACCGGTGCGTCTCCAGCGACGCGTTGTCGTCGACGATGTCGCGCACGGCGCCGCCCATGCCCTCGAGGTCCTCGGCGTTGCGCGCGAGCCACGCGCCGACGCCGTCGAGCTTGGCTTCGAGCGCGTCCAAGGCCGCCGCGAGCGCCGCGCGGCGGCCGTCGCCGGCCTTGCCCGTCTTCGCCGCGACCTCGTCCTCGATCTCCCACGCGACGGCGCGCTCGACGGCGAGGCGCCGCGAGTCCGCGACGCGCGCCTCGAGCTGCGCCTCGAGCGCCGCGCTCGGCCGCGCCAGGTCCAGCGTCGCGAGGATGGCCGTGATCTTGACGGACCGCGCCCGCAGCTCCGCGGCCGTCGGCTCCGGCAGCGCGTAGCCCTCGTGGTCCTGCTCGAGCGCGCCGCTAGAGAGCAGGCCCTGCACGGTCTCCATTGCGCGCCGACGGTCTCACGATTGAGCGCGCAAAAGTAGCCGCATCGCAGGGCGCCGGGCCTTCACCAAGTCGTCAACCAAAGTGTTGAACATGTAATTGCTGCCTCGTGCAAGAGCCGCCCGGGATAAATCCCGCGGTACCTCACGCCGGATTCTTCGATCGCGGGCCCGGCACCCACCCACCCACCTCCTGGCCAATCAGGGACCTCCGTTTCGTTAGTTGCCTTCAAGTTGCCGCTCGCAAAATCGCCACAACGCGCGCGCGATTCCGCGCGCGCGCTCTCTCGTGTCGCGGAGCTGCGCGGTCCAATCTCCGCTTTGCGATGAGAACGGGCACCCGCGCCGCTCGACTCGCCGCGGCGAGAAGCGGCGCTTGCCCAGAGACGACGATAGCGGCGTGAAGACACGTCGCCGAGGCGCCGCGCGACCGTCAGCCGCGGCACCGCGGGTCATGACCGCGCGCGCGCGCGCGCGTTACAAGTACCCATCAGTACACTGTAGATTTTCCAAACCAGGCCTCCGGACCCACCCACCCACCTCGCCATGAGGTTCGAATCTTTTGTCCGTGGGTGGCTCGTGCCTCGTGCTCGATTCTAGCTTTGTGATGTGTGACTTCAGCGGCTTGAGCTGCCGCGCCTGAGCCTCTCCGCGATGCGCTGCCCAATGCTGCGCCTCTCCATCATCCTCGCAGCGGCGACCGCGCTGGCGCCGCCGCAGGGCCTGCTCCTCGGCGTGGGCCGCGTCGCCGAGGCGCACCCGCTCGTCTTCGGGTCGGGCCTCACCTGCCTGAAGACCGTGTGCTCCGACGTGCTCGTGCAGAAGCGCGTGCAGAAGCGGAAGGCGCTCAACTACCGGCGCTGCGGCGTGTTCGCCATCTACGGCTTCTTCTACCTCGGCGCGGTGCAGTACCTGCTCTTCAGCCGCGTCTATCCGACGATCTTCCCGCGCTGCGCGGCGTTCGCGGCGGCGCCCGCGGCGGCGAAGCTCGGCGACCCGATGGGCGCAGCGTCCGTCGCGGGCCAGATTTTATTGGACCTGGGCGTCCACTGGCCCCTGAGCGCGATCCCGGCGTTCTACTTCTGCAAGGCCGTCGGCGAGACCGGCCGGCCGCGCGGGTTCCTCCGGGCCTACGGGGCCAACTGGCGCGCGGACGTCGCCGCGTGCTGGGCCATCTGGTGCCCCGCGGAGCTCGTCAGCTTCGGCGCGCTGCCCATCCGCTGGCAGGTGCCCTTCGCGGCGCTCGTGTCTTTCGGGTACACGGCGCTCGTGTCCTTTCGACGGGGCGGCGCGGCGCCCGCGGCGACCGCGGCGAGCTAGCGGCGCGTGACTAACATGCAGCGTGACTTACCGCGCGTGCCCGGGAGGACCTCCGGGCGGCGGCCCGCGCGCTGTCCGCGCGCGGGCGAGGGGGGGCCGCGCGCTCACTTGAGCGCGAGGAGCTCGAGGTCGTCGAGGCGGCGGAGGCCGTCGAGGCCGCCGAAGAGGAGGACCGCGTCGCCCCGCGCCCGGGCGGCGGCGTGGAGGCGCTTGGGCCGCGGGCTGCCGTTGGCCGCGAGGCGCGCGGGCGGCCGCGCCGCGGACAGGATCGTCGCGCGGCCGTGCGTGGCGCCGTCGTCGCCGAGGCCCCCGACGCAGAGCACGGCGTCGCCGTCGAGGGCGACGGCCGCGTGGTGGCTGCAGGCGTCGCCCCGGGGGTCGTGCGACGTCGGGCCGAAGGGCGCCCACGCCGCGGCCAACGCGCCGCCGTCGCCGCGGAGCGTCAGCGCGATCGCGTCGTCGACGGGGAGCACGGCGCCCTGGCAGCGCCCCCCGGACACGACGAGCGCCTCGCCGTCGGCCGTCGCCAGCGCGCAGGCCGCCGCCGCGGTCCGCGGCGGCGGCGCGTTTTGCCCGTCGGCGAGCGCGCGCCACGGCGCCGCGGGCCGCTCGCGGCACCAGACGCGGTCGTCGGCCGCGCCGCCCCAGACGACGAGCTTCCCGTCGAGGCACGCGACGGCGCCGAAGGCGCGCGGCGGCGGCCGCGGCCCCGGCGCCGCCGGCGCGGACCACGCGCGATCCGGGAGCGCGAGCACGTGGAGGTCGTCGCTCGGCCCGAGCGCCGTCTGGCCGCCGAAGATGGCCAGGCCCCCGGCCCAGGGCGCGGCGCCGTGGCCGAAGCGCGGCGCCGGCGGTTTCCCCGTCGTCGCCACGGGCCGCCACTCGCCGAGCGTCGCGTCCGCGAGCGCGAGCGCGCGGACGTCGTTCGTCGGCTCGCCCGCGGCGTCGAGGCCGCCGAAGCAGTAGACGGCGCCGCCGATGCGCGTCGCCGTGAGGGCCGACCGCGTCTCGTCGGCGGCGGCGCCGACGGACGCCAGGGCCACGGGATTTCGCCAGACGCCCGCGCGGCCGTAGAGCCACGAGAACGGGCGCCGCCGCGCGTCCGCGCGCGTCCATCCCCGCGCCGCGCAGAGGCGCCGCGCGGCCTCGTCGGCGACGAGCAGCCCGCCCCGCGCGCGCCAGTTGCCCGCGGCGCGGACTTGGGCGAGGGAGACGGCGTCGCAGAAGGCGAGCGCGGCCGCGGCGACGTCGTCGTCGAGCGACGCGAGGCGGCTCGGCCGATCGCGCGGCGGCCGCGCGGCCGCGCGGCGCACGGGCGCGAGCAGGAAGCTCGCGACGCGCGCCACGAGGCTCGCCGGCGACGGCGCCGCCCGGCTCTCGAGGGGCTTGAGGTGGCGCAGGCGCCGGTCCGCGGCGGCGCGGTCCTCCGCGAGCAGGCGGCCGAGGCCGTCGCGGACGGACACGCGGCCCGCGGCGACGCCGAGGAGCGCGCGCATCTTGGCGAGGTCCGCGCGCAGCGGCGCGCGCCGGCGCTCCCGCGGCGACGCGGGCCGGCCCGGCGGCGACGCGGGCGGCGGCGGCGGCGGGCCACCGCCCGAGTCGCTCCGCCGCCGGCCGACCTCGCCGCGGCTCCGCGCGGCGCTCGCGGCGCGGGCGACGTCGGGCCCGCGCGCGAGGTGGCCCGCGGCGCCGTTGACGGCCACGAAGCCCCGCGTGTGCCCCGCGCGCTCGAGCGCGGCGACGAGCCACGTCGCCGCCTCGGAGACGTGGCTCGCGTCGCCGCAGTAGGTGCGCTCGCGCTCGTCCGCGCCGCCGCCCGCCAGGGTCCGGGCCAGGGACGCGAGGCCCGGCGCCGGCGCCGCGCCGCAGTCGGCGTCGCCGCCGTAGACGTCGAAGAGGCGCACCGCGACGACGCCCGCGCCGCGGTCGCCTGGGCAGCAAAAGGGTGATTCAACGTCGCTTCAACGTGAGTGTTCCGCGCGCGCGCGTTCCGGAAAAAGCGCCCACGCGTCGAGACCGCTCCGAGAGATGATCGCTCGTCCAAAAATCAGCCAAAACGAGTGGAAAACGGCCGAGATATGAGCCTTTGAAGTTGGGAATTTCGCTCTCTTTTGCTGCCCTGGCGGTCGCCGCGGCCCGCGGCCGCGCCCCATAAAGCCTCCTCCCGCGCGGCCTCGGGCGACGCGCCGCAGCTCTCGCGCGGCAGGAACTCGGACTCGACGAGGGGCCGCCCGCGGCGCGCGGCCTTGCAGCCCTCGTAGACCGCGGCCGACGACGCGGCGGCGACGGGCCCGCCGCGCGCGGCGGCCGCGGCCGCCGCGACGGCCGCGCGCTCGGCCTCCGGCGACGCCAGGGGCGCGGCGCAGTGGGCGACGCGGCGCACGCCCTGGGCCGCCGTCTGCGCCAGGGCGTCGACGATGACCGCGCCGTCGGCCGCGAGGGCCTCGAGCGCGAGCGACCGCTCCGACGCGAGCGCGACGACGTGGAGCACCGTGGCGCCGAGGGCCAGGCAGGACCCGACGCGCAGGGGGATCCGCTCGCCGGCGCCGACGGGGCGCCCGTCGACGAGGGTCCCGTTCGTCGACCCGCAGTCGGCGACGACCACGTCCGCGCCGGACGCCTCGAGACGCGCGTGCGTGCCCGACGCGCTCCCGTCGCGGCCGAGGCAGACGCCGCCCTCGCCGTGGGCCGCGGACCGCCCGACGAAGCGCGGGGCCGGCCCGATGCCGAGGGCGAAGCGCTCCCCGGCGTGGGGGCCGTCCGTCGCCACGAGGCAGGCGCAGACGGGACCGCGGGGCTCGGGGGCGACGAGGGCGACGACCTCCTGCCCCGCGGCGAGGAGCGCCCGGGCCACGGCGTACCCCAGGGGCGTGTCGGCGCCCGTCACGAGCGTGGCCATTCGTCCCGAGGTTCAGCGCATCCGCATGCCAAGCTTTGGTGCTGGCGCGCATGCAGAGGTTGCTCCGATTCTTCAATGCTGCATGCTCACGAGATGCCGGCGTCCTGCCGCGTACGCCTCCGCGTGCCTGTGGTAATTGGCGAGCGCTAGCGCAGCGACGCACCCGGCCATACTATTGTAGCCTCGTCCGGTCGTTTTGGGCCGACCAGGCGCGTGGCCGCGGGCTTAGCGGACCAGAGTACTCGTGCCCCTTTTCTGCTGCTCTTTAGCACAGATTTTCCCGGAAATTGCCGCAGGACTCTGCCCGAAACAGCCTGCTACACCTCCGCCACGCGACCGCGACGCTGCCGCCCCGTAAGATGGAAGCTCTTCGCGGCAGAAGCACGCGCGCGCCTGGATGAAGCCGATATTGTCGCGTTCTTGGAAAATCTTGCAGTGCGTAAACTCGGCTCTAAACTTCTCCAAAGAACAGCAGACTTTGCCGCTGTACGGAGAACTGCGACCCGCGCGCCCAACCATGACCTCTCTCATCGCCGTAAGCTCCTACACCGACACCGACATCCTCGCGCATACGCCGAAGGGCGCGGAGAATGACCAGGGCATCACGTGAGCCGCGGCGTCACTAAATGTTCTTAAATGTTCTGCGGACCCGATTCGGCGAAACCGCAGCGAAACCGCGCACCACACTCGGTTCCCCACCTTAGGTGCTTCTGGCTGGACCACGCGACGGGGTCCCTGAAGCCCGCGGGCGGCGCCGACGTCGGCGCGGCGCCCGCGTCCCCGCGCGACCCGCCCCGCCGGCTCGAGACCGAAACTCCCCTAGGCCCGAACCCGGCCTTCATCCTGCAGCACCCGACGGAGAAGGACGTCGTCTACGCGTCGACGGAGCGCATCGACGAGGACGGGTCCGTCTACTCGCTGCGCCTCGCGCGCGACGCCGCCGACGGCGTGAGCCTCCGCGTCGTCGACGAGGCGACCGCCAAGGGCAAGTCGACGTGCTACCTCGCCGTGGACAAGTCGGGCCGCTGGCTGCGGCTCACGAACTACTGGGAGGCGTCGGTCTGCGTGCTCCCCATCGAGGGCGCGGCCATCGGCGCGTGCGCGGACGCGCACTTTCTGCCGCCGGGGAACGCGTTGCAGCGCGCGGCCAAGGACGGATCCCTCCAGCCCGTCGCCCCGCGCTGCGACCAGCCCTCGTCCTACTGCGTGTCGACGAAGCCGAGCCGCGAGGAGCACTGGACCTACCGCCAGCGCTGGCCCCACGCGCACTGCTGCGTCACCGAGCCCTACGAGAAGAATTTCCACTTCGTCGTCGACCTCGGCGAGGACGCGGTCTACCACTACGAGATGGACGAGGCCGTCGGCAAGATGGCCTGCCTCGGCTCGACGCGCCTCGCCCGCGGCGGCGGCCCGCGCCACGTCGTCTTCCACCCGACGCGGAAGGCCGCGTTCCTGGTGAACGAGCTCGCGTCGACGGTGTCCTGCTTCACGGTCGATTTGGCGAACGCGACGAAGCGCGGCGTCAAATCCGAGACGGACGACGACGCCGTGCTCCGGCTCGCCCCCTGCGGGCCCCAGTCGACGCTGCCGGCGGGCTACGACAACGCGCACCACTGCGTCAACGGCATCTGGAAGGCCAAGAGCCACTCGAGCGAGATCCGCCTCGACGCCGCGGGCGACTGGCTCTTCGTCGGGAACCGGGGCCACGACTCGCTCGCCGTCTTCAAGGTGTCCTTCGACGCGGCGGGCCAGGTGGCGCTCGAGCTCGCGCACTGCCACCCGACGGGCGGCAAGTGCCCCCGGAACTTCGCGGTGCTCGACCGCCACGTCGTGCTGGGCAACCAGGACACGAACGAGCTCGTCGTGCTGGAGCGCAATCTGGAGACGGGGTCCCTCGCACGCGTCTCCGCCGTGCCCCACAACTCGCCGAACTACGTCGCGCGGCTCGACGCGCCGCCGGCGCTGCCCGCGCTGCCGGAGGACCCCTCGGAGACGATCCGCGCGCCGCTCGCCAAGTCGCCGTCGTCCAAGGCCTCCCTGCTCGACGCCTTCGCGCCGCCGGCGCCGGCCGCGCGCGCGCCGACGCCCGAGGCGCCCGCGGCCGCGGTCGCGGCGCCGCGCGCGCCCGTCGCGGCCGCCGTCGCCGTCGCCGCGCTCGCGGCGGCCGTCGCCTACCTCGCGCTCTGAGCGCCATCCCCTGCACACACACACCGCCCCCGCGCCGTCGCGTTCGCGTCCGCGTTCGCGCGCGTCTTTTTTTAAGAGGCCCTGCCTCGCGTCGATCTGAGGGAAACTTGCGGCAAACTACGGCTCGCACGTGCACATCGATGTGTGAGCTGTACTCTCGGATCGTCAAGCACCTCCCTCGTTGGCTTGCAAAATGACGCGCTGCGCTCTCCTCGCACTGCTCATCACCTCCGCAACTACGGCCTTCGCGCCGGCGATCGGTCGCAGCAGCCTCGGTGCTCGGCGCGTCACTTCCCAGATCCTCGCCGCCGGCGACGACCAGCGTCGAGCCACACGAGTGCTTTTTCGCGCAATACTCGAGAAAAACCCTGTCACCCTCGGTAGGCGACGACGCCCCAGCCGCCGAAGCGCCGCCGGCCAAGAAGGCGCCGGCGGCGAAGAAGGCGCCCGTCGCCGCCGCGGCCGACGGCGACGCGCCCGCGAAAAAGGCGCCGGTGAAGAAGGCGCCAGCGAAGAAGGCGCCGCCCAAGGCGGCGCCGAAGCCCACCGGGCCCGTCCTGACGAACAGCGCGCAATACAGCCGCCAGTCGCAGTACGAGCTCGGCTGGTTCGGCAAGTTCGACGACGCCAAGACCGGGGACGAGCGCAGCAAGAAGATCCTCGCGCGATTCGACAAGGTCGGCGGCAACGGCGAGCAGGCGCGCACGCCCGAGCGCGTCCGCGCGGAGATCGAGGCCATCGAGGCGCGCAAGGCCGCGGCCGTCGCGCGCATCAAGGGCGGCAACTAGAACTGTGTGTCCAAGTAAAGCATCAA